CCCCGCGCCACGAAATCTGCACTTCATCCCCGACACCCGCGCCTGCCACGAAATCAATATTTTAGGGTGAACTCCCCGGCGCAAAACTTTCCAACCAAGCAAATATGCCTCCTCTATTTTTCTATCTATCTATCTATCTATCCATTTATCTTTCTATCTTTCTACCTATCTGCAGTTCAACATCCACAAAGTACTGCACCTGCCACGAAATCTGCACTTCAAGGTCCACAAAGTCTTGCGCCTGCCACGAAATCTGCACTCCAAGGCCCACAAAGTCCTGCACCTGCCACCAACTCTACACTTCCACATCCACAAAGTCCTGCATCTGCCACGAAATCTGCACTTCAAGGCCCACAAAGTCCTGCGCCTGCCACAAAATCTGCACTCCAAGGGCCACAAGGTACTACACCTGCCACGAAATCTGCACCTCAAGGTCCACAAAAAGTCCTGCGCCTGCCACGAAGCACGAAAAAAAATCCAAAAACAGAAAAAATCCAACATTAAGTCGCGGCCCCTTTGCACTCTGACATGTACGCATCACTGTTAAGACTACTGATTTCCTGCTTAGCGCTTCTCGCTTCATGCTTTTGGCCGTGATACCATACTCTCAACTCCTAGCTTCCACACTCCAGACTTCAGGCCTTAGTCGCTTTGCTTGCTCTTTGTCAAACCTTACTCTGAGCGCAATCCTCCACCCTAGACCGGGACCTTAGTTGATTCATTGGATAGACTTGTCAGCTACTGTTCGTTTCTCCTATATTGTCAGTCAGCAAAGAGCTAAAGAGCCAGGTACGTTAGAGTAGAACTTTTTGGTGCAGTCTTAGCCACAGTGGAGGGGGAAAAGCAGAATGGATTGTCAATATTTACATATTTATATAGTCAATTCATGTTTTTGTTTTTAATTACATATAGAACTGCATATTGCGTTAGATTTATTTAAGTTAAAAAACAAATACGAAGAAAACAGCGAGATATGGAATAGAAGACTTGCCGGTATTTTAATAATTAAATGAGCAAAATACAATTAAATAACTAAATACTTAACTATTTAACTATTTAGATTGAATTCCTTTACTTTCCCAATTAAATAACTAAATGCATAAATAATTGCGTATTTAATTATGTAATTGGACTTCCTCTACTTTTCCTACTAAATAGAATTGCTTAATTAAATACTTAATTATTTAATTATATAATTAGATTTAATCAATCTTAAAAAATTTAAATACAAAGAAAGCCAAAACAAAAGGGAATAGAAGACTTACCGGTATTTAAATAACTAACTTAATTAATTCCAATTTAACAGTTAAATTATTATCCACTTAATTACTTAATTATTTTTGATTTCCTTTACTTTTCCAATTAAGTAATTGAATACTCACATATTTAGTTATTTAATTGCCTAATTAGATTTCCTTTACTTTTCATATTGTATTATTTAACTATCTAATTGGATTTCCTTTACTGTTCCAAATATATAAGTAAATGATTAAACATTGTGTTTCTTAATTGTTTAATTGGGTTTAAGTAATATAAACATTTAAGTACGAAGAAAACAAAAACCAAAGGAAATAGAAGACTTACCGGTATTTAAATACTTAAGATTCGTTAACAAATTTTAGAAAATATTTAGTTACTTAATTTGATTTCCTTTACTTCTCCAATTAAATAGATAGATAGTTAAATATTTAGTTATCTAATTATTTAATTTGATTTCCTGCGCGTTTCCAATAAAAAATAGCTAAATACCTAATTTTTTAGTTCTTTAACTTGATTTTATTAATTAAAACACTTAAATACGAAGAAAACCAAAAGACAGGAAATATAATATTTACCGGTATTTAAATAACTAAGTTAATTAAATCAAATTAAACAATAAAAACATTAAATATTTAACTATTTAACTATTTAATTTGATTTCCTGTACTTTTTTTAAGTAAATAAGTAGATAGTTAAATAGTTAATCATTTGATTATTAATTTGATTTCCAGTACTTTTCCAATTAAATAACTAAACAATTCAATATTTTTCTTAAACTTACTTAGTTGGATTTAACTAAATTAAACATTAAATACAAAAAAACAAAAGAAAGGAACTAGAAGACTTACCGGTATTTTAAATATTTAAACCAATTCAATTAAATAAATAAGAATTAAATACGAAGAAAACCAAAAGAAAGGAAATAGAAGACTTACCCGTATTTAAATTAATAAATGAATTAAATCCAATCATTATTTTGTTATTTAATTGAACTTCCCTTACTTTCCAATTAAATAACTAAATACTTAATTGGATTTCCATTACTTTTCCAATTAAATCATTAAATAACTAATAATTCTTTAATTTTTAATTGGATTTAAATAAACTAAAAAGTTAAATACGACAAAGACAAAAAGAAAGGAACTAGAAGACTTACCAGTATATAAATAGCTAAATTCTTTAAATCCAATTAAATAGTAGAAAATTAAATGCGAAGAAAACCAAAAGAAAGGAAATAGAAGACTTACCAGTATTTAAATAATTAGATTAATTCAATCCAATTGACTAATTAAATATTTAATTATTAAATTGGATTTCCTTTACTTTTTCCAATTAAATACTGCATATTTAATTATTTAAATTGATTTCCATTACTTTTCCAATTAAAAATTTGCTTGGATTTAATTGATGAAAAAATAAATACAACAAAACAAAAAGAAAGGAACTAGAAGACTTACCGGTATTTAAATAACTAAATTAATTAACTACAATTAAATAAACAACTAAATAAATAAATATTGAGGTATTTAATTAGATTTCCTCTACTTTTTCAACCAACTAATTAAATATTTAGTTATTTAATTACTTAATTGGATGCCCTTTACTTTTCCAATTAAGTAAATAGATAATTAAAAATATAATTGGAAATAATATTTTTTCAATAGTTATTTGACTGATAGAGTAACGAAATAATACCTAAAGGACCCTCTATCATATATGTATATAGCTGAACCCGGGTTCATAAACTGGGGTCACGGGTTCAGAAACTATTTTGGTCAGATTCAGAAATTGTTTTGCACCAATTCCCCGTTTCTTCTTTGTCTTTGTGCCCACTCATTTGCTTCAGGTAGGCGGGGTGGGGGTTATTGACGTGATGTTTCTGTGAGCAAACCTCTCTTAGCAGTTTCTGGTTTCCGAACCACAGTTTCCGAACCCCTTGTTTGAGTTTCCGAACTCAAGTTTCCGAAACCCACGTTCCAAGTTTCCGAAACCCAGTTTCCCAGTCCCAACCCAACTTGTTGGTTTCCGAACCCGAACCTGACGCTGACCCCCCCCACTTATATAGCTAAAGCTATATACATAGTGATAACGCATTACTTAATTACAGTTTAACGCCTCAGCACCTTCGGTGCGGGCGGACTTCCCATTTCCCGGACCTCGTTCAGGTCTAGCTCGCAAAGTACATAATCCCAACAAAAAATCGTTCCATTGCATTTGTGTCTCTAAAGGAAATCACCCTTTTGTGAAGCCCTTCCATTCAGACATGTTCTCGATGATGCAGCCAACACATTCCAAGGCCAGCCATCGGGTATGGGAACGGCACGAGAACATGCAGCTTTGTCCGATGGTGGTCAAGTTGAGAAGCAACGTGTCGAAGTGTCTTGGATGCAGAAATGAAGGGCTGCAGAGAAAGGGTTTGGGTCCATTTTCCTTCTTCCAGGGGTACCCACCCATAAAATCCCATATATATATATATATGTATATAGTCAGTATGTATCATGCCAGTCTAGGTGATTTGCTTTCGATGGACGGTCATCCAAGGCTGTAACGGCCGCACCAGGCCCAGCACAGGTGCACAGCAACTTGGTCCAGCGATTCTGGTGTCACGGTCACGTCACGTTAAGCCTCCTGAGAATGGGGTTCTGTTTCTGGTGTCACTTAAGCCCACGCTTGCAAGCTGTGGATGAGTTCCAGGAAGAGTTCACGAAAGCTAGCACCAGGTAGGTAGAGTTGTTCTTGCTTTAGCAAGTGAGGGGCTGGAATCCTCGAGGGCGCCGCATCGCGTGAAAACTTCATATATAGAGGGGGTCCCACCTCCCCTACCCCGCGGGTTCAACTCCTCCCTGGGACGTCTCTTGGTATTTCCGCTGGCAGGGGCTGACTGTTCCTGTGGCGGGCAAGAAGCACCTTTTCGACCATTTTTACAGCAGACATGGAAATGGGACCCAGCCTCTTTGGTTCAAGAATTCTGTAGCAGAATCCTTCCACATCCCCCACACCAAGCACTTCGCCCGTCGAATTTGGAGGACGTGGTCAGGTTGGGAGGGTCTTATATCCAGATATCCCCCGCTTCAACCCCCCCTGCTAGCTTTCGTCACCAACCCTCGGCCTCAAGTTTTCAGGACGGTGTGGCTGTTTGTTCGTAGCGATCTGCAGGTTTGCTGTTTGTTCGTAGCCTCGGAGCACTGAATTCCCTGCAATCTTCAACTGCTCCATGTTCAGAAGGAAGTGCCTTTGATGTGCACGTCCCAATGCATCGTCGGTCCGCAAGTCCGGCTCAAAAGGACTTCAGGGCATTGCACCCACCGTTCCACCAAAGAAAGTTGAGTTGAAAACAGCATGGGGAGCAGCAAACATCAGCAAACTGCATGATACCAACATATGCTACCGTTGTTGCGATGTGTTGTATGGTTCGCAGTAGCTTCCTTTCTGCTCATTTTCAATCAAAACAATCGGCAAACAATCGATCCATGTCGATCCGATCCAACCTTAATCGAGGTCCAGGCCAAGGTGGCCAAGGTGGCGGAGCACCTGGCCGTCAGCTTCTTAGAAGCCCGGAATGGCATGTGCCACACGACTGGGGTAATAGTCGAGCATTAAAGAAACACACCATTTTCATGGATTGTACCGTTCTTTTGTGTGTTTCTTGTTAGGCCTTGAGACCTTTCCTTGCTTTCCTTCGTCCTTCCATTTTGTTTTTACCTTGTCTATCTTTTTCTTTTTCCACAAGTACTTTCTCAGTAGTTCTTTTTCTGTCTAACCTATTCTCTCCTTTTGGGAGCTCTAGTTGTGCATTGCAATGCATTGGCTGAGAGTCTGAGTGAGATACTGAGGTCTTCGTTCCGACCCTTTCAATCAAAGGCGCACCTGAGCCTTTTCCAGTCGTTTCCAATAGGCCAAGGACATGTCCTGGGCAGCTCTCCGAAGATGAGGGCTCTGGAGCTAACGAGGTCCGTTCCAAAGTGGACGCCCAACGGTCGCCCAAGGCGCCTCCGTGACAAAGGCTGCGAGTCCGCGCTGCGAGTCTGCGCTTTTGCTGTGTAGAGCCTTCTTTTCTCTGTGGTTTTGTGCTTGGTTTCAGGTGTTTGTGGGAACGCCTTGCATTTTGTACTGCCTTGACAGCACCAACTGCGTGCGTTTGTTCCAAAGGCAACCTCAATGCTCGGCCGCGGATACAACTTTCCTAAGGCTCCTTAGTTCATGGTGGTTTGTGTGCATGATCAGAGTACAGCCCCAAATTCTGAATCTCAACTTGCGTCATTTCACGCTTGGACAGATGCAGTGGCTGATCAACTACGACATGCCCGACAACCTGCTGGAATACATGTGTCTTGTCTTGCTTGTTGTGTTTTGGTGTTCGTTGTTGGTGACAACCCTTTGACAACATTCTCAATGATCATGAACCATGAATGGCCTTAGCCTAAACTTGAATCCACCATCTATCAACACCAGATTCTGGATATTTGGGTAGTGGAGTCGTTTGACACTGAATTTTGGAAAGGCATCCGCGTGTGCTTTGAAGCTGTGTGATCCGCCCAAAACAGCTGTAAAAGGTACTGAGCCATGGGGTGGCACATACCGGACAGTGACATATATACAGATCAACCTTGCAAGAACGCTACATTTTCGCGCGCCAAAAATGGTGGCTGACGCCCTGATGACTTGTGCCAGGTGTCGCGTCCGATTGGCCAGCCGATGTGACGTGCCGGGCTATTCGTTGACCTTTCTGGCGGCACACGACCTGTTGCAGGCGCGTCTTTTTTTTGCAACGCATCATGCATTGGCATCTCTAACATTGCGCTCTGCGTTCTACTTTGTATCACTTTGTATTGGAGAGATCAGAGAAATTTAACTTTAAGTGAAGGATTCAAAGGTTTGGGAACGAAGTATCACAACCGCTCCAGGTGCGCGAACTCAAAGTGCTGCTCGAACACCTGGGTCAGGACAATGGCGGGTGCCTTGGGAAATTATTCCAGGCATACCCTTACGTATTGGAATATTTTTGCTGGAATATTTTTTCTGGAATATTTTTCCATGCAGGTATGCCATACCCCACCGTGGAGCTTGTCGTGGAATAATTGTTTAAGGTATAAATATGTTAAAGCGCTGTCCAAACTGAGCGATCATCTCAGAGGGACCCAGAGGGGTCCATACCAAATAGAGGTAAATTAATAAGTCGAATCAAAACAGTCGATATCAATCGATGTCGTCTTTTTGAATGCAGAAAGAAACTCTTGGACACAATAAGCTTTTGGATATGAGCTTGGGATGTTTGATTTTTGATTCAAATACATATATTGAAATGGATCCAACAGATTTTGGCAGTACATTAGGTGAAGAGACTGGGGATTGGTCAGTTTACAAAATATATAATATATTCCATATGTAATCTAGAGGTCACATACTGCTGGAATATTTTGAGAGAGACTTGGATGTGTGTCAAGTTGTTTCTGTTCAAGATTGCACGCTGCTTCAAAGCTTTCCAAGAGTGATGTCGTGACACCTTGGACTATTTACCTAAACCTATAGGATTATTATGTTAAGATGCCAGAAATTATTCTAGGAGGTTCCCACCCTGTGGAATAATTATCCAAATCGATGTTCAACCCTCCAGGAATAATAGATAAATATTCCTGGAGGTATCGACGGTCTGAGGTATCTAAGGGACCCCCCATTCAGGACACGCTTTCTGGGCTGAGGTCAGTGTCAGGTTCTATTTTTCATCGTTGCAAGTGCGACATTTGAAGTCAGGACGGTTTTGGACGGTCTACTTAGTCTTCTACTACCATGAAAATATAACATGTGGTTCCATCCACATCTTCCACCATCTTCTGAACGTTCAGTCAGAGGAGTGCCCTGAGAATTTGAAGAAAGCCGCGGAGTCCTTTCACGCACTGGCACTTCGAGCCTCAGCAAGGAAACAAACAAAAGGTCGGAAATGGGTCCGCAGATTTTGAAGACATGAACAAAAAAGAAAGTCCTATGAAGGATTAATGAAGAGTAGCAAAGCTGATGATGTTTCTATCGTGGTCAACAGATCAGTTATTCTTTTGAATACTTTAGACAACAACGAAGACCGCTACTGTACAGCAAACCATCATCATTTGTGGTAATATTTCTCGCTGCTTACATACTTTTTCCTTGTATAACGTCTTCATATCGCACACTATCACCTCACATCATCATCTAACAGTGCATCGTGCATGTCCCACAAAAGAACAAACACACTTCCTCACCAGCTTCTGCCGGATACCCTCAGACTTAGCTTTGAATACCAAAACATGTAGCAGCCATAATACACTTTTGTGTCACACGCATATGAAGCACATCACAATCACTACTCGTGGAAGCGCACCTCAAAAGAAGTCCACACAAGTGACTAGCAACCGCGTGCGAGCACCAACATCCGAAGACTGCCGTCGAAACTGGAAGTATTTTCCTAGCAATTCCTAACAATCTTACTACAATCTTATACACATGTGTGTATTCTCTTTTTTGCACGACTGTTTTCCTGTGCAAAGAAGTGCGAGCACGAAAGCACCTCCCGGATGTTGCGGGAGGGAGTGGAAGTGCACACCTTGCGGAGTTTGGTGTTGAGCTCCACCCTCGCTCATTGCTGAAGCGGCCATCTTCCGCACTTTGCTTGAGGGCCAAAGTGCACCATGGGATGTGATGGGCGCCCGTGCCACAAACCTGGTTCAAGAGCTCTTTGGAGCGGGCCAGGATGTAAATGCGACGCTGGATGCACCTCAAGCACGCCTCGTCAAGACGAAAGTGTGCACATCTTTGAAGGGCGGTCCTTGTCTGCCCAGCATCTCCTGAATGATCTGCATCCCCTGTTTCTGGTCCCTGTAGGCCTCCCTATGAAGCGCCCTTTCCAGGCTCAATTCCTTTCAAGGAGACAGGACACAATTGGCTTGCCGTGGAGCAGGTTCATCTATGACAGGCATCTGTCCCGGTGAGTCCACTAAAGAAACATGCCTTTTCCATTTCCATGGCCTCAAGCACCTCTCATCGCACATTAGTGAGAAGGTCCATTTGGAAGTCATTGACCGCTTTCGAGATCTTTCTCGTGGCTTAGAATTTGAGGACTACGCCATGGTCCAACCTCTCTTCTTGCCCACTCTGCACAAGCACCTTCAGAGTATCGCAAACACTCCAGGCTGCCGCCCGCATGGAACCATTGCTGAAGGACGAGCAAACTTTGCGCGTCTTCATGCTAAGAGCGGTCGCTTGGACGAAGCCTAGGTTCCACAGCCTGTTGATCCATTGTGTTGGAAGAGGCTTGACCTTACTATTGCAAACATGCAGAGCTGGTGGCTTTCTGAATTTTCCTGCAGACCGTCCAGTCCAACCTGACATCAGCGTGCCGTTGAAGCCTCAAAAGCCATTAAAATTCAGTGTTGGCCCAAACCCAACCTTGAACATTGCCAAAGCTCAAAATGATGGTGTCAACCGGCCTTGACCAAGGTGGAGGAAGCGCTGCGGATGGTGTGTTGGAGTATTGCTCCAATTATCAGACACTTTGTAAAGTGGTGTTCACACACTTGCAAGTTCATCCGCCGCAGGGGCATCAGAAAGGAACACGAACTACTATGAGCGACAGAAAGCGAGCCCGTGATTGGACGGCGTTTGATGCAAAACTCGTGCTGCAGGCCAACTACGGCCAGCGACCTCACAAGACACCCTGGACTACGTAGAGGATGCCTGTGCGCAAGCGAGGTGAACGTGGCCAAAGGTGGATTGGACGGGCTCCCTTGCCTGCCGTGACAGGCTCTTAATGAAGCCACAATATGCCAGCTGTTTTTTATTGCCCTGCGAGCAAGTTATTGCCATCCGCGCTCTCTTTATAAGGCGCGGATGGGTGCCCGTGGCCAACCGTTTTTCAATGTGCCTGCGGGTGAGTTATTGCCGTCCATTCTTCGTTTTACATACGGTGCGGTCTACGGTCTAGCTAAAAGCTACCCTGCCTGTGTGGCGGGAGTGACCATTGTCAGGGAGCATTTTTGCCTTGAGGCCCCTATAGGTTAAAACTTAAAGCCCGCGGCCTGTCTTTTTAACTGAGTTGCTCTTGTAAGTTGCTCTTGTAAGTGTGCTCTCTCACCCCCCGTGAAGAAGTGAGGCTATTGCACTTCCTAACGCTTGCAATTCTTCTTTGGCAGATATCTTGGCCGGTCGGCCTTTCCAGACCAGACCAAGGCAACTTTAGTGCCTCTTGATTTGGCTCTTTAGCCAATAACTACGGCCTGTGCTCCTATCCGGCCCCTTTCGCCCCACCCTCCCTTGATTTATTCTCCTTCTATCCAGATCTTCTTCCACTTGCCGGTGTGCCTGTGGTGTACAGACCTTGATGAATTCGATTTGTGAAATTTTGATATTCGTTCAGCCCTTTGCGCCACAACCTTTCACTCTCACCGGTTGTGCGGTCAAACGGAACACACATATAAATATACATAATATATATATATATATATATTGTCATATTGTATACACACATAGTTGAAGCGTTGTTCGACCGTAGAACTTTCAAATATACCAGTGCGGTCAACATGTCTCTCAAAGTTAGAGCTGATCTGAGGAGTCAATCCTGAACTGGCCTTTCAACACAGGCCACTTGTCAAAAGCAAGGAGTTAGTGCAGCAATCACTGGGACTTTCCGAAATGTCTTTGCTTTCTTTCTAATGGCTGTTATCCTTCACCACACACTGGGACATGCTTTGCAACCCCAAAGTTTGAATTTTCTTGTTCAAAGCTAGGGGTAGTTCCAAGTTGAAGCCACGTGTTTAAGGCCTGCTCATATTCGTCGTTGCGTTGAGAAGCCTCACAGTCTCTCGGCGCTTTAAACACAGAGTTGATCTTATTGCGTGGGACGGAATCTCCCAAAGACGTAACAGGCTGGGGCCATCATACAAAGACGCCCATCGCCCAGCCGTTGCCGGACGCTGATTGGAAGGACCTGCAGACTCACGCGGAATGAGGGCAGGAGAGGGAGTCCGATGAAA